TTGACCAAGTCAGCAATCTGTGTGATTCACCGAATAGCCGGGCGTTACCGCAAGGGAGGGTGGCTGATTGGGCCTACCGTTAGCTCTCATACCTTCCGGGATTTGGCATGTTTGCGCATACCAGACATGGCAGAGAGAGTTGATGTAAATTCCAGCTGGTGATGTGTGTGGCCTCTCTGTAGTTTTAGGGTTAACGCCAGTTGTGGTGGCACTGCCCACTTTGTGGAAAAAAAAAACATTCCGTAGCTCGCCTCTCATAATGCAACGATGTAATCAAGTTTGTGCCACTTTCAAATGCACTTGGAAACGTACATCAAAACTTTGCCAATTGTGGTATGAAGGAACTTAATGTGGCCGTATGGGGCCAAATACAACTAGCAAATGGTCATGCGCTTCGAAGGCTGAATTTTATAGTGCACTCACCCAGGCTTTAAATAGGGGTCCATGGTTTTGTCACTATAACGATGAAACTTTATAACCAAAACAAGTAAAAGTATTTGAAAGTAAAGTGAATAACGTATTAGTCATGGATATATATTTGGAATTGCTAAATGACTTTGTGGTTTGTCAGCTGTGCGAGAGGTTCATGCCTTTATTAAAGTCATATCAAGGGGGTGCCTCTCATATCCATTGATGACCGGAGTCAATGGTCAAATTCTCACCCTCTTGATAGCCAGTTTAAATATATTGTCCACTGCTGACTTTTCCCTAAAGTATGTTTACGTATTACTGCGGCCAGAAGAGATGATGGCCTGCATTTACCCCTGCATGTGATTTGAACCCACAACCTAACAGCAAGTCCGAGCCACATGTGTGTTGTGTTAATGCTGCCGAGCTCGGCATATCTACAGCAGCAAGCTATGTTAATGACGGACCTCACAAATTGGGACATGGGTAATGTGCCAGTGGCCAGCGGGTGGCATAAGATTGACTAATGGTGGCTTGAAACCAGCAGGGTGTAAAGGCTTAATATGGGGAAACGGCTATGTCGTTTTCATTAATACCTTACAATGCTTGCACATATGGCAATTCTCACACAGCTTCTGTAAATAACTTCGAGGTTATGGTCAGATGTGGCGTTATGGTACTCTGGTGATATCTCTTCGAACATAATCATACGTCCATTTAATGGTGTTAATGCCGTAACATGAAAGTCTTTTTTTTCATTAACAGAGCTTGAAAGTTGTGTCAGACAGTCCAGAACACACAATCTGTGTGCGGGGACAAGACGATATATTTTTTGGAGTAATTTAGTTAATCCAGGAAAGTTCTCAATCATTTTTAAAGGAGGGTCGGTCCTGCATTGGAATATTTGATCAATTCCATTTTAAATAGTTGTATGTTCAGGAGGAAATCAAGGGTACCCATACGAAAACCCACAATGTATGCTAGGGGATAACATTGAAATGTCCACAAAGACCAGTGGCTGAACCCACTTTCTGTACTACCAGCTCATCAACACCACCTGGGTCGCATTCTTTTTTAAGATATCCTTTTTCATGTTTGTATGCGCCACATGTCATACAAACATGTTTACGAGGCAGATTTGTGAAACCTGCTGGATTGAGAAATAGCCAGAGGTTAAAGCACGTGGGTTCGTGAACCTGCCGATTAAAACTTTGGGTTGTTATCCCCTCATGCAGTGGGTTTTCTCCAGGTCGTAGTTCCGTTACCACATGCATCACACTTTTTCAATTACATTGGCCAAAGTTCCAATGTAAGATCCTTATTTGACATTACAATACCGTAATCTATTTAATCAATTACAATCGGCCCTCACCACCTGGTTTCCAATCAAGGTATTTATTATCTGTCGTCGTTATCAACCAAGAAATTGAATGGATGGTTCGCAGTCGTGTTTCCAGAATATTTTCCTAACTTGTTTTCCTTATTGGCAGTCCAGCGTCCTCCATTCGCCTAAATGTAATATTAGTACCGAGTTTTCTGTAATATTTGCAGGCGCGGGCGCTGAGAAAGGAAGTCTAAGACCGAAATCTTGAGACGTATTAGTGCACCGTCCAGTGGAGAATCAGTCCGAAAGACATACATGTCAACCCCTTATCAGTCCCTACCTTATTAGAGACCAATTCAGACCTTGTTGGTCACTCCATGCCCTTATAAATCTCAACGTTCATCCTACAAAGTTCCATCACATGGGAGAAAGACAAAACATTTTTTTTGCCCGTATTGAAACGGCTGTATGCCATATGGACCTGAAAACTCTTATTTCCCTGGCCAATAATAAAATAGTACGTGTGGGTTGACACGGTATGGAAAGAGTACTGAGAAAGTGAGAGTGATGAGATGAGGTGGCGGGAAGTCTATTTGGTACATTTTAGAGGAGGCAAAAAGATCCGAATGGGGAATGTTAGTTGATGATCATCGACGATCATCCAGCTTCCAACATTCGGCAGTGCCGGGCCGAAACGGAAAAACCGCTCCAAAGGCTGTAAACCAGTCCGGCCATACGGCACTGTGTGCGTGACAAAAAAAATAGGTAGCTACGCTTGATTTCAGTGTCATGTTTTATATACGGTGGTACAATATACCAAGGCCGTAGCCATGGAGTCAACATTGGGGGGGACCAAATCTTCCTGGGGGTCCCCCCCCCAGAAAAATAATCTAAATTTGAAAACGAATTTCCTGCCTAAAATATAAAAAAATCACTCACACATAGGATGGACTTTTTTAAATTTTTTACAATAATGTCTAATAGTGTATTGTATTACATAGCTGTTTTTCTTTTTTACCTTTTCTTGTGTCATTGTATGTAATGGAAGAGATTAAGGATTAATAAAGTACAACCATAACGACAATCATATAAATAGAAATCTATTTTATAGCAATATTTTGGGGGGGACATTTTGAGCATATTTGAATATTGGGGGGGGATGTGCCCCCCCCCCAATTTATATTATAATTACGGCCTTGCATTATACAATACATTAAACTTAAACAATGAAAATACTGTAGCGTGTATACATCACCCCATGCAGCGTCTTCGAGATTGGAGTGGTAAGTACGGTACAGTAAATGTTTACATTGGGATTTCTTTTCCATTTGTATGCTTACTTATGGAAATTTCGGATAGTAAACAAATGTAAAATACAAAAAATGTATACACAACACAAAAACATGTTACGCAAGAATGCGCATAAATACGCTATTGTAATTAATGATTTCGTAAAGAAGTAGAAATAAAACAACAGCTAAGTCTATCTAGGATTGTCACCTGTACGATTTTGACTCAGTCCTCGAATTGACATTTGGGTAATTAGAAATTGATTTCTACCGAGATTTGGTGCAATTTGTGCTGAACTTTATCACAGTACACTGCAGTGCTGATAGCACCTCGGCTGAGAAATTTTGTCCGGGATTTTCTGTAGAAAAGTTAGCAAACCCTCGGGGGAAAAGTCCAATCGGCAAGACACAGAGAAGGCATCATAACACCAGCAATGGGAGTAAGTCAAGAGTTGAAAGCATGCCGATGGAAGGACCTGGGGACATTGGAGATACGTAACACCCAAGAGGTATAAAATGGCACTAAAATGGCACGAAGTGTCCAAGAATCTGAATGGGATTGGGGTGATTATCCGAAGCTAGAATGGGAGGAAACTGAATCAAAAATCCTGTCTGTAGGCAGACAACTCAAAGGGGGTGGGGGTGGGCAATATTGGCATGTCATGTACACAGCCCTTTCGGATGGAGGTGCCTCCACACGCCGTTGCCGGTCGTGGCGTTTAGCCTGACGACCCCTTGCCTCTTGCTGGCCAGTGCAGGATGAAGACGAGGGACCATAGACGCTGCAGCACGAGTATTGGACGGTACAATTACTTTTGCTGCCCTGCTCTCTGCTGCCCCCCACCGCTGCCGACAATCCCAAGCACGATCGAGGCTGAATTCTGCTTATCTACGAACGAGGTGCTGCTTTTTTTTGTTTGTCCCGTTCAGAATGATCAATACTGTATTGGCATTCTGCAGTCCAGTATCGTAAAAAAAAAAGAACCGATCGACTCTCAACGCGCACGGAAAGTTGCACCCCGCGTTTGTTTTTTTTGCTGCCCAGATGTATTTTAATTATCGTCACAACAACCACCACCACCACCACGCCGAAGCTCTCCAAAAAAGATCCCCCGTACAGTCTTAACAGACTGTAGGGGCAAGTGCTGTTGGCGGGCACCTATGAAGGCCGGCACGGTACACGAGGGGGTGGTTGGCCAGCACCACGCCCGACCGCCTTTGTCTCCCCAGTGGTGATGTTTGACACACCGCACCGGGTACTCATTCGAGGCTGAGTCGACCTAGGGGAGGCCCAGTACCGGTTTAGATAATCGTCACCGATGTTGGTTCATAGCGTAGCGCGTTAACCGCTACACTGTCGCTCCCCCTTCTCTCTCCTCGACCCCCCCCCCCACACATCCACACACATTCACACATATCCACACATCCACACACATATCCACACACATCCCCACACATATTCACACACATCCACACACATTTACACACATTCACGCATCCACACATATCCACACACATCCCCACATATCCACACATCCCCACACATCCACACACATTTACACACATCCACACATATCCCCACATATCCACACACATCCACACATATCCACACATCCACACATATCCACACACAGCCACAGATCCCCACACACATCCACACATCCCCACACACATCCCCACACATTTACACACATATCCACACACATCATCTGACCACCCGCGAACCGCCAACTTCAAGTAGCCGCAGGAATAAAAAAAAAACCCGCCCCCACGTGGAGCGCATGCAGAGCCCCTTGTCCACGTGGCCACTTCTCGCGAGATGCTCGCCCTCGCAACTCTCGCGAGACACTGGCGGCGGCGGCAGGGTGAGAGAGGGGGTGGGGGGGGGGTTCCCCTCCCAACTCACGCCCACCTCCCCCATTCGCCCCTCCCCACTCCCCGCCCAGCCCCCGCCCCTCTCCCCAGCCCCTCCCCTCATCAGGCAGCTCGGCCCTCGGCCGCCATAATCGGCTCCGAGGCGGCGGCGGCGGCCCCCCCGGCCCGCCTGACCCGAGCCTCCCTCGGCCTCATCCCCGATCCGACCCCTCGCCCAAGCCCTGCCTCGTCTCGCCCTGCCGTCCCCCCCCCACCCCGTTACCCCCCCCCGCCCTACCCCCCGGCTCTTCACCCTGCATCCCCGAGGGTTGTATCCGTACCCCGCGTCTCTCTCAACATAATTCGATTTCTCATCATCATCACCACCACCGCCGCCGTCGTCGTCGTCTGAATCGGCGGTGCCGCCTCCTCCTCACGGACAGGTGAGCTGAGCGGCCAGGTGATGTGGCGGCATCGATTGGCGACAGTTCTCACGCACGACGGGCCTCGCGGGCCTCAGGTGGGAAAGGTGGAGGCTGATGGAAGTCCCCGGCGGAGCGGTTGTTGAGACGCGGTCGTCACGTCTTGAGGTGCCCAAATTAAGTGTCCGTCGATTGATTAAGAGAGGTGGGGGGGGTGGTGGTTGGTGCCGGTAGCGATCTCGTGGTGAGGGTGGTGGTTGTGGTAATGGTGGTGTCTGAGGTTGTTGTTGATGGTCATCTGGTTGTGGTGTTGGTGGTTATGGTGATGGTGTCTGTGGTGGTTGTTCGTGATGTCTGTGGTGGTGTTGGTCACGGTGGTCGGTGGCATCGTTTGGTGGTCTTGGTGTCTTTCGTGGTGCCAGTGGTGACTACGGTTGCGGTGATGGTGTTTGTGGTTGTTAGTGATGGTGGTGGTGTCAGCAGTTGTAGTGATGGCATCTGTGATGGTATCCGTAATTGCGATGGTGGAGTTTTAGTGTGGATTGGGTGGCTTAGTGGCCAGCGCGCCTAAGTTCAATTCCCGGTGTCGTAAATTATGCTTATATTTTGTTGTTCATTTTACGCCCAACAACTATGACTGTCGTTGCGACGTGGTGCTGTTGAAGGGTGTTTGTTGGTTCGGATTGTAAGTGTCGGTCGTGAGTTTAAAACTCCTGGCTATTATAGAGCCGAATGTTTGTGTCGTAATGGCATATCGTCAGTAGCAGCTTGTCATCTTCAAGCAGCCATGGCCAATTCGCTACCGAATAAAAAGGACCCTCTCCCAATCAACCGCCGTCTCTCACCAAGCAATAATAATAATCCACCGCGCATAAGCGAATTTCGCGGCTCCATCTCCTCCGTCGGACGCGTTCCGTTCCTTGGTTTGCCTGTCACGTCGTAGTCGTGTCCGATCGTCAGCCGTCGTTCCTCCGAGTCAGTGACGTTCTTGATAGGTGAAATCGTGTGACCCTCTACCCACCTCCGCGGACGTATTCATCCACGTGTTCCTCTATTCTGTCTTTAATGCTGCGTCGCGTTCGTGAATGTAATTGTGCAACTTGTTGCCGCGTCAGTGGGTACGAAGTGTGAGTGTCCGTTGTTTGAACTCGGCTGGTTTTTTTTTGGTCGTGTCGTCTTTCATCGCAACAGCAGCAGCACAACATCGTCGTCGTCACCATCGATATCACCCGATTGATCGTCATCGATATCGTCTTCGATACTGTTGTTGTGGGTTGGGTGTTGGTAAAAAATAAAGCACCACTCGCATTGGTTGCACCGCTACGTGCACGGAAGTCAAACACTGCTGCGTCAAGGATGGACTGGCCACGGTCATGTGAATGTCGAGTTTCCAGCACGGCTAAGGAACGTTTATAGATCTTGTAATGCAAGGTATTTTACGGTTGTATTTGTGTTGTCAATCCACTGATATGTGAAGGCCACATCACACCCCCCGTGTAAGTCGTGGGTGTTGACCATAATGCATCCACGCTGGACATTGCGTGTGTGGTGAATGGGGGGCCAGGCACAGGACTGGTTCAAGATACATCACTCACCACCGATGTCAGCCGTGGCCGGGAATCAAACTTCGCTTGCTGGGTCCATACTGCAATGCGCTGACCGCTGTGTCACTGCGCAACCGCTCTAGAATGAGGGGACAATTTAACAATATTTTTTTGTATCTTTTAACAACGTTAAGTGAATGTTTAATACTGTTCGGTAGCATCATTAATTTTATATATACAGTATAGTTTATGCCCTGTGCTTTAAAGCACTTGGCTGATTGATTGACAAGCGGCCTGGAACTAAATTACGAAAACATGAATCCTGTCCGCAGCGAGGAAGGTCTGTAATATATATTATGCATCTCACAGGGCATTGTATTGCAAAATATTTATCTGGGAGGCTTCTGCAGTTTAACATTTTATCGTGCTGCCTGTGTGCAAATCACCCGAAATATGCACTATCTGGTCAGGTCTCGGAAACGAAGCAGGCATGAGCCTGCGATGCACAAGCGCCGTGAGTCAACAGAGAGATGGTAGTGCAGCAAAATCCATTGTTGTACATCTGTACCTCCCACCTTCGTCAACCGGCAGCAATCAGTGCTGTGAAGTGTCTCAAATAACCCCCCCCCACGGAACCCACACGGTGTGGCGAAGGCCGTCATCCAGCAGCGAATTGACAAAAAGGGGCTGTAACACGTGCATATGTGAAGTGTTGGTGAACACTGTGTCAAGCAAGGCTATGTGGCATTTTCCTCTTACCCCCACCCCAACTCTGTGGTTTGGATTTGTTTTTTTACTTCTCCCTGTTAGTCGTGGTTTGGTTAAGCGGCGTGTTTTGCCCGTCCCCCCCCTCCTCCTCGCTCGTGTTTTGTTTTGCTTGAACTTCTTGACGGGAGGCCGCACGAGACCCATCACAGTGCAGGGGGGGGGGGCGGTGAGGACCCCTCCGACTCAATTCAGGGGTGACTTCCACGACCAGGGCCAGACACAGCGCGCATCTAGGCAAGGTTCAACACTTTTTGCTATTTGTTGTTGTTGTTTGCTTATTTTGGTTCAAAACGATCGAACAGGATTCTGATGAGAATGCGCTCCTCGTGGGAGTTGCTGTTAAAGGCCCCCCCTTGCATCCAGGGCTCTCTGGGAAGCCCCTCTGCCCTTGCGCCCCCCCCCCCCCCTTTCCTTGGCGTCAACCACTTTTGTTTTGCTTAAAACGCCAACGCTCAGCGCCGGCTTCTGATCCGTGTGCCCGTTCCGCGCGTGTCCGTGCCTTTGTGTGCGCGTTTGCGTCTTTGGGCCCCCGGATTAACGTGCTTGTCGGACTTTTGCCATTGGTCCAATTTTTGGCGAAAACGTGTCGAAGTTTCCATCATCAAATGGTAGGCGGGCGGGGAGGGGGGGTGGCCAATAGCCATGGCGCGATGTGTTTTGGCCGTTTCGTCCAGATGCGAATCCGGGCCCCCTTTGTCTTTGCTTTGTGGACCTGTTTAGTGCCTATCTGCGCGCGCGTTATGTGCATGCGTGCGTGCGCAGTTTGCACATCTTGTGCACAGCCCTGAGTCAGTGTTTGTAGTTTACACCGAATTTAATTACAATACCCAGCAATGGTGGGCCTTTTTACCGCACTTAGTTAACATTTAACATTGGCTTTATAGGGGACTGAATGCGTTTGTAAGCAAACATGTCCAATGCCGTATGGCATTGTCCATTACACTCCCACCTCTGCATTTTCCTTTCACGGTGTCTTAACATTCGTAAAAGTTAACTTTCCCATCGGATCATGATTTTTTTTTGCTGAAGATGTATGCGGAGGGACGGGGCGCCCTGCTCAATGCACAAACTGCCTTTCCGTTGCAGTGGGATTGACACGCTGTCTGACGGCGAGCGCTCTGTGAAGTTATAGGCTCCTCTCTCTGCCTGGCCCCGCGTGCACATAAACGTGTGAAAAACAGGGCTGGCGTAGGCGTTTCTGAACTCTCCACGGTGCATTGAAGCTGCTGGTGAACTTATTGACCCGCGGCAGCCCCAAGGCCAGCGCTCAGTATGCGGAGCGGAGAGAGCACATGGGCTGCCTGCCCACTTGGGTGGTGCGAGACTCTTGGCTGCTCAAATATTTCCTTGCGCCATAAAAACTTTGATGCCTGCTTTGCTGCTCCGCAGAGCTGGAGGGGTGATTAAAGTACCTCGCGTTTATGCCCCAGCTCTGTGCATACACAATATTTAAATGTAAACACAGCGAGTGTACGTGTACGCGTACACAATGCAAATGTGTGTGTGTATACCTCTTTTGGCGGCCGAGTAATGGGCACCTGACCAAGAAGTCGTCCGCTGAGGAGATGGAGCAATTACATCAACTCGTATGCGCGAGCGTTAGATGGATTATTAATTCTGAGGATCGCGAGAAATGGCAACGGCTTGGGGGGAGGCCTTCATCCATCAGTGGTTTAATAATAGCTGAAAACCATGCACCTATAGAGGGAGTGGCACTTTTGTAAACCGGTAGAATAGTTTTACGAGTGGATGTGGAGGCGTTGTCATGATTTCGCTGATGTCCACTGCTTGATGCGAAACAACTTGAAGGCTTGCACGAAGTTAAGATCCTTGATATCAGACATCTGTGGTTAACTGCGCCCGCCGCCGTGATGTCTCCGATTTTGTTGGCTTTGCAGATGTTCCAGGCCGTATTGACTGTGTGTGGTTAATGCGCAGTGTGTGCCAGTGTATGTTTGGTTAGGGTTAGGTCTCATGTTGTGCCGCCCCTTCTCCCTCCCGCTGCGTGCCTCTGATTTGCTTCCTTTTTTTTCTAAATCCACCGCCATGTAGAGAATAAACACTCGCACCTGAAGTTGTTTTCTGGGGATTCTTTTTTTTTACTCCCAGTGACCGTGGCAAGTCTCATTTTTTTTAGTTTTTTACTGTGTTCACAATCTGTAAAATAATTCCTCATACCTTGTGGACTTAAGCCGCTCAGTTTCAAATGTCTTTTGGTTTATAATCACTTAAGTGTTCACCCGCAATCCTACTTGAACATCTCAGGACAAAGTGAGTCACTGCTAATCTACTTGGCAATCATTGAGTTTATGGAAAGGTGCCGAGCACAAGTAGCTGTTCCGTGACAGCTTTGAGATCCGTGTATATAAGTTCAGATTGAAATTGAAAGTATTGTGTAAAACAAAAAATATATATAGGTACTCTTCCAATTGTGGAGTAATTACAAAAGCTTCAGAGAATCAATGCTTAACATGGGGCCTGTAAACTAAACTATGAAGTATTTTTTATTTTACCATGTAAGGCCCAGGGACGGAGCCACAGGGGGGGCTGCGGGGGGCTTAGCCCCCCCTGAAATTTTGGGAAAACCGGCTTGCTGCAAAATGCTGGCTGCCACCTTGTGCTGCCCTGCAGGCTGCTTGAGCGGCAGCCTTTCGAACTTATCGAACTTATTAGCCACATCAGCGGCTCCGACCTATTAATAAACTCCGT